AATTTTTCCCTCTCAAATTAATTATTCCCAAACCACCATAATTCTTGGGAGGCAAAGTCTGTCCCAAGAAACATAATGAGTTTTACCGGCAATGTTTGTATCTACCTAAATGAAATTACACTGGAGTTTCTCAATATCCTGGAAGACATAGGTTGGGAGGACATTATTATGCATGTGAAAGCTATGAATGGTAGAAATAACACTCTTAGCCATAGTAATTATACCAGAGAGTGAGAGACGATTAGATTTCCAGCCTTGAAGTCTTTGTTGAACTCTATTAATAACTTCAACATAATGGTCTTTTTCATTCTGCCATGTTTCATAAGGGAGTCTGAAAAGCAACCAATGTTGTTAACTTTCTTGATTAATCCACTAACAATAGAAATCTCATAAGCTAGATCAGCAGAGACATTCTTAGAGATTTATCAATACTCACACATTGACAAGACATTTTGAAGAAGGTATCGAGGCAATGAATAATGGAATTCAGTTGACTCATAGATGCTTTCGCAAACAAGATAATGTCATCAGTAAGCATGAGATGAGAAATCAAGGGGTCTTTCCTGCCAACTATGATCAAGCACCAACTCTTTTTTTGCACTTCATGCATGATTAAATGAGATAATATTTCCATGCCGAGAACCAACAGATAAGGAGATATGGGATCCCCCCGTCTTATGTCTCTTTGGGGTTTGAGACCTGTTGTTTTAGTAACATTGCAAAGGACCTCCGTAAAAAGGCTATTAACACGTCCCGCTATGGCTTTAACCAAGCTACTAGGGAAGCAAGCTTCTTCAAGGACCTGCTTGATAAAACTCCACTTAAACTTATCATATCCTTTTTCTAAGTCAATTTAAATGGAAAAGAATCCTTTTTACCCATCATTTTGTATATTGAAGGATTAATTCTTGGGCGATGTGTTGTCTTGAATCTGCTGTTTGGGAACAAACCTAACTTGATTAGGGGAGATGAGATCGCCAAGTAAAGGCTTGATCTTTTTAGGCATGAAATGTTTCATAAGTTGTGGCATCTCAATCTTGGTAATAAGGGCAATGAGGGTTTGGTTGATTTCTTCTATACAGTCAGGATGATTCAAGTAAAACTCCATATTATTCCAAATCTGATTTTTGACCAGCTCCCAATTTCGGTGGTAAAACAAAGTAAGGAAACCATCCGAACCAGGGGCTTTGAGAGATGCCATTTGAAATAAGGCAACTTTAACATCAACATCAAAAATGTTAATGTTCACCTTTTTTTTTTACCTTCATTGAGCTCAGGCCAAGAAGTAGTCGACTGATGCCAAAAGGAATCAAGACTGCCATCTTTAAAGAGATTAAGAAAAAAAAAACTCCGAGTTAAAAAGATGAACTCTTCATCCCCCTTCACCCAGTGCCAAACATCATTTTGAAGCTTCACTATCTTATTTTTGCTCCTTCTAATAAGAGTTTTGGTGTGATAAAATCTGGTATTATAGTCTCCATCTCTGATCCACTACTCTCTAGATTTCTGGTGCCATGTTTGTTCCTCTTAGTCAAGAATTTTCTCAAGCTTTTTGTTCAATCTATGTTCCATCTTCTCCAGGTAACTACTGATATTCTTTTTGGAGCATCTCTGAAATCCTTCCAGCTAAGCAATAATTTTATTTTTTCAATGGAAACTAAAACCAAAGACATCCTTATTCCACTTTTTAATGAGAGGATTAAGATTGTTTAGATTTTTTTGCAATCTTTGAGGAACTATTCCATTTAGACTTAAGGAAAGGCATAAATCTAGCATCGTTTTACCAAGTAGCCAAAAGTCTAAGGGGACGCTCCCTCCATTGGTGGTCATCCTTATCAAGCTTGGTAAGGATAGGGCAAAGATCCAAGAAGATTCTTAGGAGCATGATGACATCAACTTCTTCACAGTAAATTCTCCAAGTCTCATTAGCAACAGCACATTCAAGGCGTTTGTAAACATAGTCCAAATGTAGAAATTTGGGACTTTTCCCATTAAACAAAATACCATTACCACCAAGATCTAGCACCATACAAAAGTTAAGCACATTAGCAAACTGGTTGTAATGATTTAGATCAACGTGACTGCTATCTTTTTTTTCAACAACTGAAATGATCTCATTAAAATCACCAGATATCAGCCAGACATCATTCATAGTTCTCCCAAGATCTAAAAAGTCCTCACAAAGAATTTTACGCTTGTCTTCATGAGGTCTAACATAGAAGCTGTCTAACAAAAGGGGAGCGTTTGTCACATGGGTCAAGCCAACAATAAATAAACTGTTCACCCATTTTCAAAAAAGTAATCTAGACAATGTTTGGATCCCAGATAACCGAGTTACCATAAGAAAAACCATAAGCATCAATAAAAATGGGGCATTTGGTAGATGAATTTTTTTTTTTATCAGGATGTTTGGTAGGAAAGTAAAAAAAAGTTGTTTGATAGGCCGATATATTACTGGAAAAATTGGGTTAAATTTTTCGAGTCTATGTTTGGTTCAAGGTAAAATGTTGATGGAAAAATGGGATGAAATTATCAAACTAACCCTTGACTAAATATAAATAAGACTATCTCTCTCCAGCTTTCTTTTGACATATTTTTGAGAAAGGATATTTGTGTACATTGTTTTTTTTTTCTACTTTTTGGTTTGATTGGGTAATAAAAATACCACCTCGGGTGATATTATGAAATCTCAATTTTTTTTAATTTTACATACAAATTGAGATTGCTATGCAAATTTGAGATGAGTAAATTTTTTAAAATCTCCTATCAAATATGGTCAATTCAAAAATTCATCTCAACTTTCTTAAGGGTAAAAAAAAAAAACTCTCCAATCAAACACTTGGAATTAAAAAAACCTAAGCTACTAATAATATTATTAGCTTTCCTACCACTATCCCTTGTCTCCAAGATAGCAACCATAACAACTTTGTACTTCATACGAAATCCGAAAAAAGTACTTTTAAATTGCTCTTTCTCGCACTAGATGCAAAGTCTGGTCCATCATCGCCAAATTCAGCCATCGATTTTTGCTCAAAATCTCTCTCCATAAACCCTAGTAGAAAGGAATTTTTCGTACGCATGGATACAAGTGCCTAAGCATGGTTTTATTCAAGTGGTATGTGAATTTCAACTTCAACATTAATGTGACTCCTACGTAATACTTTTTTTCATAGTTCATATGATAAATTAAAGAACTTTTCTTAAAGTAAATAAATAAAAGTTTATTAATTTGCAATATAATTTTAAATATATTAAATTTGAATTTAATAAAATTTAAAAATATTAATTCTTAAATATTTATTTTTAAATATACTCTAATATTTAACATATTCATTTACTTATTATTTAAACGCTGTTACCGAGGACATATAGTAACTTTATGGTATTGACTATTGAGTATTGACTGAAAGTTAAAAGAAAACTTTATGATGCACGCGGTGAGACGTTTACGGATCGATTCATGTCCTACAAAAAGATTGACACAGACTTGTCTTAATTCCAGCTGTTCTTGTAGCGTTATGAATAAATGATACACCTACCTCGTAAATTTTGTAGGTGTGTTTGGTAAGAGTTTTATTTTGAGATTAACGGAAAAGTGTAGGTAGATATATAATAATATTATGTTTGGTATAAGCTTATAAAAATTTTATCCATAAAATAAGTTATTTAGGATTTGTCATTTGTGTGCATTTTGTGCTAAAAATTACCGTTTCAAAGTACCACTTTCAATGTGATATTTTGGAATTATCAGCTAAGTGAAGAATATTTTAGATGAGGGGGTTGTTCTGATTCAAAAATTATAAGGGTTATTTCGTAATTTTAACTTATTTTTTCGTAAATATTTTACCTTTAACCAAACATAGATTCAGGAAATTTCACCCAATTTTCTCATTAATATTTCGGCCTACCAAACAATTTTTTTTTAACTTTCCTACCAAACTCATTTTCCCACCATATTCGTAGTAATTGTATTTTTCTGATAATTTTTTTTTTATTCTCTACCAAATATTCCCTTAAATAATAAAATTTATATAAACATTTAATATTAAAATCGATAAAATAGAAACACAAATTAAAATAAAATAAATATAACGAACAAATAAAAAAGGCTTAATATTACTTTAGGTAATAAAATTATCTTTTTTATATATTTTTTTTCTTATTTTAATATGGGATCACTTTTTCTGCGGTAAGCCCAATGCGACGTTGTTTTAGGGCGAAAATCATGATGTTTTTATAATTTTAATTTATTTCAAGGTTATAATAGTCTTTATATTTATAATTTTTTAAGATTTCAATATCAAAACGACGTCGTTTTGAAAATAAATGCAGATAACTTATATGCATTAACTGCAGAAACATATTTTTTTCTTTTAATATAATTTCACATAACTTCCGCATATTTTAAATATGTATAATAGATAATTTTATCTTTTATAACAAGCTTATTTTCAATGCTCATGAAATACATGCTCCTTTATTAAAATAAAAAAAATAAAAATAGGAATGAAAATAAAAAAATAAATAAAAATAATGTAAAAATATAATTTTTTTTACCATATTTAATAAAGGAAAAAATATTTGTCTTTTAAATGACACAACTTAATCATTTCACTCTCACGAAAAGATAAGACTCATTTCTTTATATTTTTTTTTTGTTCATTCTCTCTTTGTTCTTTTATCTATTTTTTTCTTTCATTTAAAATAATATAACTTTACATCATTCAGAAGGAAAGATACTTTTTTTTCTTTAATAAATGTTGCACCTAGTACTCAGTGGTCCACCGCGTCACTGAAAATAATTCCCTCCGTGCAAAGCATCAAACCGAATAAAAAAACAAGAACGAGGTTTATATAAACCACTAGTTGTTTGCTATTGTAAATTTGTAACACATGTGATATGTTTATTTGCGGGTTGCAGTGAGGAACTTGGTTGACCATAAAGAAGAACCACTTATTTTTTGTTGGTGAAAGAGGAAGAGAAGAACCAACTTGTGGTCCTCTATATATATCAGTTGAATGAACAGTGATGAGTGTGGAAAGGTCTAGAGAGATGGGTAAGGAAGTGGGAGCACCATTGCTAACAAAGAGTGAAGAGAATAATGGAGTTGGAATGGTATCATCATCAGATAGTAGTACATTTTGTCAAGAACTCAAGAGGGTAAGTTCCATGGCAGCTCCAATGGTAGCTGTCACGGTGTCTCAGTACCTTCTGCAAGTGGTGTCGCTTATGATGGTTGGACACCTTGGGATACTTGTCTCTTTCTCTGGGGTTGCCATTGCTACCTCTTTTGCTGAAGTTACCGGGTTCAGTGTCCTTGTAAACTCTTCTTTCTTCTTCTCTCTTTTTCATCCAATGCACACTAAATTTTTGCTCTATCCACTTTTCTTATTTTTTGAAATTTTTAGTAAGTGTCTATTAGCTTTTCTACTAACTAGGGTATGTGTGGATTCAAGTATATATATATATATTTTTGATAACAAGTATATTTTTTTTTTATATGTTGGAAAACTGTTTTCTTATTCTATTAACATACTGTGAGTGGGATCACATGTGAAAAGCATATATGACTTAATTGATTTACTTTGTTTTATAGCTAATTAATTAATAAGGTTGACTTAAGCAGATTTAAGTGGGGGAACAATGGATTTTTGTTGTTAATTAGTTAATTGATTCTTGTATGGAACATAGCATCCTTTTGGTTCACTTTATGTTGATAACCCTCCTTTTCTGTCTCATAGACATGATATGCAAAAATAGTTCCTCTTGTTGATATATAAAATCATTAAAGCAGTCTTACATATTAGTTTAAGTTTTTGGATTCAATTAGTTCTTTACATGGTATCAGAGTCTTGGTGTCACGGGTTTGATCCTCACATCTCCCTATTTAATTAATAATAATTAAATTCTGTGGAGTTTCTCAGCACAGTAGATGGATCTGTGCATTGTTGGATCTGTGCATTATTCACCCTTCAAGTCCAATGAGCTTTTGTACGAGGGGGCGTGTTAGAGATATATAAAACTATTAATGTAGCCTTACCTATTAGCTTAAGTTTTTTGATTGAATTGATTCTTCACGTTTCCTTTACTATGTTCTTGTTGAATGGGGTTGCAGTTGGGAATGGCTGGTGCATTGGAAACTTTATGCGGACAAACATATGGTGCAGAGGAATTTGGAAAGCTTGGAAACTACACTTGCTGTGCAATTGTGACTCTGATTTTGGTTTGTCTACCGATATCTCTAGCGTGGACATTCACTGATAAAATACTCTTGCTATTTAGTCAAGACCCTCAAATTTCTCATGTAGCTCGTGAGTACTGCATGTACCTCATTCCTGCACTATTTGGCTATGCTGTTCTTCAATCTCTGATTCGGTACTTCCAGACTCAGAGTATGATCTTTCCCATGGTTTTGAGCTCAATTGCCTCTCTGTGTTTGCATGTTCCTATTTGTTGGGGTCTGGTGTTTAAGTTGGGACTAGGACACGTTGGAGCAGCATTAGCTATTGGAATTTCATATTGGTTGAATGTCATTGGCCTTGGAATTTATATTAAGTATTCTCCAGCATGTCAAAAAACCAAGATTGTCTTTTCTAGTACTGCATTACTAAGCATTACAGAGTTCTTCCAATATGCTATCCCTTCTGGACTCATGTTTTGGTAAATATATAACTTCTTAACTTTGCATCCTCTTGGAACACAACAATGGTGCTTCAATTTTTCATTTTCTTCTCCTGATTATTATATTTTCATATATGTCTAGTTTTGAATGGTGGTCCTTTGAGCTACTTACATTACTTGCGGGGCTTTTACCAAATCCTCAACTCGAAACCTCAGTTCTTTCAGTCTGGTGCGTGTAATCAAATTCTCATTCATTTTTTGAAATAACTCTCATGATGGGGTTTTCTAACTTGTCCTCACTCTTGCAGCCTTAACACAACCACATTGCACTACTTCATTCCTTACGCTGTTGGAGCTTCTGCAAGGTTTGGTCTAATAATTACAATATATGCTTAATTACAAAGCACAAACCTCCTCATGATCTTTATTTTTGCAGTACTCGGGTTTCAAATGAATTAGGAGCAGGGAATCCAAAGAAAGCACAAGGTGTTGTTCGTGTGGTTGTTAGTATTGTCATTGCGGAGGCAATTATTGTCAGCACTTTTTTCGTTTGTTGCCGACATATATTAGGATATGCTTATAGCAATGATATGGAAGTTGTGGATTACGTTGCAGACATGGTTCCCCTTCTTTGTGTGTCTGTTAGTGCCGATAGTCTAATTGGAGTACTCTCCGGTGAGTTTCTATTTGCTGAAACAACATTGTTCTGTGCAAATAAAACTTGATTTGATTTGTATCTGTAGCCATATAAACCTTCTTGCTTATTATCTACAGGAATTGCCAGAGGTGGAGGATTTCAACAAATAGGGGCTTATGTCAACCTTGGAGCCTATTATCTTGTGGGAATTCCAATAGCTTTGTTATTGGGTTTTCATCTAAAACTAAGAGCCAAGGGGCTTTGGATGGGAACTCTATCAGGGTCTGTTCTACAATTAATTATACTTGCCATTGTAACAGCATTAACAGATTGGCAGAAAGAGGTTCGTTTTAGTTTTCTTATATATAAATTTTCCATTGCTCATAATTTTCCTTTCCAACTACATTTTCTTTTAGACTCCTTTGCATGTGGAATGTACTGGATGATGATAAAGAGGCATAGCTAGCTAGCACTAAAAAACTGTACTTTGTCTTGTGATTATTGCAGGCAACAAAAGCAAGGGAAAGAGTAGTTGAGAAGTCAGTAAAAACTCATAATGCATTGGTATGAAGTTTAAAGGAACTGAAGAATAAACGAGTGGAAGACATATTAAAGTACAGACAATATGCTGTCTTTTGTTTTCTAGCTTTTTTTGGTTTTTGTCTGACAATAAGATTCTTTCGTGTTAAAATTTCACCTGATGTCATGTGATATTTTTGTATGTATCTCTCTTTTTACGTGCATTAAATAGATGAGGTCTAATCTTCATTAATGAAGAAAGAAATAGACACAAAAATTTCACGTGATCAGATCGTGTGAAATTTTAACACGAGAGGATATATTCTCGGAAAATTGAGAGATAGAGGATAGTGTGTTAGGTTTCTTTATGGGTGTGTTTTGCTTTTTTATCTTTTGCTGCCTTTTCTTTGTGGGTGTTGAAGTGTTTGTTTTGTGTGGTGTGTGAAGAGATTAACATAGACAACTTTGTTTGTATATATATCATGTGATTTTTGTACTGGATTTGTGCTTATGAGGTATGATAAATCAGATCCCACAAATTAGTATAATTGTAAGGGTTTTATACTGTACATGATAACTTGAGAATATCTTCCCCTCACATTAAATCCCAAAATCCCCACCAGAAATAGAGATGAGGGTAATTGTTGTGTGCGACTTTATCTTTGCATGTTTATAAAAAGATAATTTTCTGGATTAGAATATGGGAAAAATGTTTGTTTTTTTAAACGACACAATTTATATTCTTTCACTCTCACAAATAAGTGGGATTCATATCTTTATATATTTTTGTTCACTTTTTTTTTCTTTATCTATCTCTTTCTCTCACTTAAAATGACATAATTTTATATCTTTTAAAATGATATACACTTTTTCCTTAGAATATATAACCTAAAAGAGCAGCTGTTCCAGGCAGGTTTACCCTCTACTCATAACATATTAAAAGTAAAACTTGATTATGTTTATATCATTTCGTTTAAGTTAACAATTGATATCTTAATAAGTGTATAAATAGTTGATATAATCATTAGCAACTTAAAAAAGCAATTTTTTTAATCCATGCCAGAAATCCTTAAAAAGATTGGGTGGGTTTCCCTTATCCTAATTGGATATCAGTGCCAAATCCCAATTAAACTTTATGTTTCCAAAAAAGAAGAAGAAGCAATTTTAAGCATAAAACCAAATCTCATAAGGGCATATGAATATCATAGGCCAAGAGGGTCATCAGCTAATGGAAGAGATGAAAAGGTTTTTTTTTTTTTTTTTTTTTCACTTACTAATAAGAGATTACTTTGTACATTAAATATTTATTACATTAGTTTTTTTGTTTTTGACTAATCAAGTTTGACATAGTTAAAATGAAAAATATGTTGTAAAATTGGTTGGGAACATGAGACATGAGAATGAAATTGTAGATATAAAGATAATATAGAAATGAGAAAATATAGGAAGAGAAATTGTATCTGACTTTTATCAATTTCACAATATATTAAATGAGAAAATATAGGAAGTGTTTTTCTTTTTGACGCTCTCAAAACGTTGTCGTTTTGGGTTGAAAAACTAAAAAAATATAATGAAAAATATTATTATAATTCTGAAATAAATTAAAATATAAAAATACCTTAATTTTTGTTTCAAAACGACGTCATTTTGGGCTCAATGTAGATAAGTTATCTACATTGACTGTAAAAAAAATGAACCCATTAAAAATGAGTAGTATTTTTATGTATTTTAATATTTTCATCGGACAAAATATTATATTTGTTTTAGTATTTTCATTGTATCAAAATATTATATTTTTATATATTTTAGTATTTTCATGAAATAATTATTATTTGTAAATATGAAATTTTGGCATTTTAGTTAAAATATATGTTGTGATTTGGTTATTTTACACATTGAATGAAATCTTTATAATTATTTCAAAAGTAAAGAAATAGATTCTTCTCAGAATAAAAATAAAAAGCGTTATCATGTATAACTTTTTCCCAAAAACTCTTCAAAGACATAAACAGTGCTAAAGAATAGGTTCGTTGTCATGCGCACCCTTAGGTATTGGGCCCTCAATTATTATCCATTAAGAATAGGAAAATATTATTCACCTAATTTTCTTTATTTCATTAATTTTTATTTTATTTTTCACCTATTATTTTATAGGAAAAATATTTAAAGAATATAGTTTTATATCGTCTTTTGGCGTATATTTATTGGCCTTTTGCCCCCACAATATTTTTTTTTCTCCTCCTAGTTTTGTGGAAGAGAAAAAATATAAAAGTCTAATAAATAAATAATAGGAAAAAATGTTTATCTTTTTAAATGACACAACTTATATTCTTTCACTCTCACAAAGAGATGAGACCCGCACCTTTATATTTTTTGTCCACTCTCTCATCCTTTATCTATCTTTTTCTCACTTAAAATGACATAACTTTACGTCCTTTAAAATGATACACACTTTTTTTCTATATAACAAAACACAATCATATAATTTAAAATGACATAAAATACAAATTTTAAATAACAAACATTTTTATCTTATTTTATTAATAATGTCATGTGAATCACACATATTTCTAATTCTAAGAAAGGAGTGTGTACAACAATAATACCTGATATTTACTTCCAATGACGGTGATGATAGATAGGTGGAGGAAAATATTTTTAGTGGTCCCTCATGCGCTCCCTGCATTGAAAAATTGACATTATATCAAAATTTCACTTTACTCTTTTCTATTTCTGATTAATTATCACACTTTTATTGATTTAGACCACTTAAAGTTTAATGTTAGTGAAGCACGAAAACTCTTCTCGGGGTGGAGGCAATGTGGCCAGAATTCGACAATTTGTATTGGTAGAGTGGTTGGTTACTGTCAACAGTTGTTTGATGACATACATGACAGTAGAAGGACAATTATTTAAGATGTTTTACATGGCAAAAATATTCCCATGCCACGTGAATGGAGCACATCTCCCCTTCTCTATTGGAAATTTAGGAGTTAGGAAAAATAATCTCGAGCATCAATCTTTACATTTTATGTAAAGATTTCCGGAAAAAATAAAAATAAAAATAAAAATAAAAAAATAAAAATTGTGAACCAAATAAATACTTTATTATATCAAACTAAAACAAGTATTTAGTGTTAAATACCGGCATCTTGATCTTCATTCTTCATGATATAAATACAAGCCACGATTTGTTATGGAGCTAAAGAGAAGAAACATAATATAATATAATGATTGGAGTGAGAATTTAGATTTAATTCTCATCAATTAAATTTTTTAGGAGTAAAAGACTTTGACTATGACTAAGTTCTGACTTTGGATTAGTCTCGTAATCCGCTCAAAGAATTAAAACTTATGAGAACACTCAGAGAGCCGACAAAAAAGAAGAAGGAAGCAGACGAAGAAATACAAATATTTATGGGCTATTTTACAAATTTCATTTTTATTCCAAAAGAAGACAATAATTGGGAATTTAGAAATCTTGATTCAATTCTATTGATATCAGGCTTAAGCTATTACGTAAATTCCAGCCCAGCATTTCTTTTGGAAATCAAGTCAATAAAAGGAAACGGATACGTGCGTAAACGTGGACCATTCTTAGTTGTTACATTTTTTATGCAGATAATTTTTGGGGACACAACTTTTTTAATCTCCGTTGCTTGTACCCATCGGTGGCCATTACCTTAACCTTTTTGTATGTGTCCCTGTCCTTGAGCTTTAGTTTCGTATGGACCCAGGCAAAAGACAAACAGAAGCTTTGGCTGGCCCTAATCATTCCAACTAACTCATGATACGCAGCTTTAAGAACCAGACTTGCTTGTGTAAGGATTATAGGAATATGATGAGAACCTGAGGTGTTTCACCATTGATGTGCCTTAATGGTATTTCATTTTTACTTGCTTGATATGTGATCGAAACTTTTTTGGGGGAGGTATTCAGTTTTTATCCTCCCCCCACGGGATTGCTTTAATATTTTATTTTATTTTTAATGAGTTTTAAGATGCTTTTATTGGAAAATTTATTACTTTTTATTTATTTATTTATTTATTAAGATCCGCGAATCTCTTAATTGTGTCACACTATGTAGCACCGATACTGACATGTGACACGACACGACAGGACACGACACGACAACACGTTAATTCTAAAAAATGTTAAATTTCGACACGTTAGGACACGTTTTGATATTAAAGAATATTTTTAATTTATATAGTGTATATTATATTTAATATTCAATAATTTAACAAAAAAATAAAAATAAACTTATAATATTCATCAATTTTGCAAATAAACATAAGATATTACAAATATTTATATTAAACTCAATAAAATGATAATCCTAATCCAACGAATCTAATAGTTGGAACTAAAAACTAAACGCAATGCAACCTTTGAACTTTTTTTTGAATTTCTATACGCGTGTTCGAGTGTCGGGGAGTGTCGGAGAGTGTCGGGAAGTGTCAGACACGACACATCAGGATTTTTAAAGTGTCGGGAAGTGTCAGACACGACACATCAGAATTTTTAAAGTGTCGGTACTTCATAGGTGTCACATGACATAATCTCAACCATCCAAAACCTTAGACCATTCCTATAAATATCGTGCTCCTCTCATTCTTCCACTCACTCATTTCCTATAAAATTTTCCCCTCATCCTCCTACTCCTATGTTGCTATGTTCACTTTGTTTTATGTTAGTTGCTATGATGACATTGTTATGCTTCATTACTACTAACACCAAAGTAGCAATAACATACGATGTTCATACTGATACAGCGACATGTAACCACTTGCTCACAGTAATCACATATACGTTGTTCATCCATTTCATTCCTGATTTGTGTTGACCTTGGACAACCCTTAGGATGCAGTGAAGCTGGATTGAAACACAAAATCAAATCGGATCCATAGATTTATAGAAGTTGACTTATCAGAACCTGCATGCGGCAATGACATGACAACATAGATAATAGAATGCAATTAACCTTCCAATTAAAAATAGGGTTTGAACGAAACAACATGACCACCTATCTGTGTCAAATAATTGAAAGCCTCTTCAACCTCAAACCTATGTGAATTATGGCCACTGAACAACTTGAGTAGATGAAACCTTTTGATTATTTTGCTTCCCATCAAGCAACATTAAGGGTCCTCAATATTTATAGGAATGGTTAAGGTTTAAGGGTTATTTATACAAAGGGTCAAGGGTTTTGGATGGTTAAGATCGAGCCGCGTCACGCAATTGGTGAGTTCCCCAAAGAGTTCACAGAACTTAAAGTGAAAAATAAAAATAAAAAATTAATGAATTCGTGGAGGAGGGATCCATAAAATTCATTAGAAATACGGGTTTAAAGTTTCTAAAATTACTTTAGATAACTTTATCTAATGTTCATCAAAATACACATAAAAAGTATGTGGGCTCCATGTGTATCCATGTGAAGAGAACAGAGAAAAAATGAAAACATAGCCCCCATTTACTTTTGTGTGTGTATTTTGATGAATATTAAATAAAATTATCTAAAATAACTTTA